TTATTAAGAAATCTCTAAAAAATTGCCAAGAATTTATTGTAAGAGACGGTCCAAATGCAACAAATACATTTGGTGTATTCTAGTAGAAGCGCTGCTGTTGGTCATGGTCAATGGCAATGCCATGGTGGTTAATAGAGATGGCTAGAAATCGGTTCTCAAGCTGGGCTGGCCCGACCGAAATCGATACCAGTTCCAAAAAGGCTTTTCGTAAACACTTTCCGTCCAAACTAAAAACTCAAGACTCGGTTAAGGTAATGAATAATTGGTTACGAGAACCAGTCCCAGTCTCGGGCCGGACCTAGATCGGTACCTTTTTTAAAAATCGTTTTTTACACATAATTTTTTAAAGAATAAATAATGTTATTTTAATACGTTTTTTTTTTGAAAGACAAAAAAGAAAGGACAAGGAGGAGAGCTTCGGCATGGCCATCACCTTCACCAAGCCAACCAATAAAATTAAACAAAACGATCCAGCAAGAAGCTAGACACAAGAGGAATCAAGAATCCACAATAACAAACGAAAACAAAAAGAAGCAAAAAGAGACATCCCCAAACTAAAGCCAAAGCAAAACCCAAGCCTGAGACAAGCAAGTAGACTAAACAAGGTAAGGAGAAGAAGACCAACTATCCCAATTAAGATGGAACTTATGATTCCTGTTCCCCATCCAAAGCTTGGAAAAATTTTGAACACCTGGGAATGGGCTTGGTGGGATCTTAAAGCCCCGCGGCTTTCCTCGGTGTCTGATTTTACAAGCCGAATCCAGAAATGATAGCGAGAATTGTGAACATTCTTTGCGTTTGTAAATTGGTATCTTCCCCATACACCATACGATTTATATATAGTTTATAAAGGATCAATGAGACAAAAAATGGTCCAAAAATGAAAAAAATGGCCATATGACCTTTCCCAACAGCTATGAAAAACAGTAACATTTTTTGAAGAAATCGGGCCGGTCGGCTGGCCCTAGTCTAGATTAAAATATTTCATTTATCGATTAAAATATTTTTTTTATATATTTATTTTCAAAGTTTCCTATTGGTGCTTCACTTGGTAATCATTTCAGGTGAACTCCATATTCGGAGAAAAAAACCATTCTCTTTCCTATTTTCTATATTTTGGAAAAACTGTTGAAGCAAAATATTTGCTTAAAATTCTTAATTTCTTTATTTTAAAGAAGCTGTTGGGAATGCATGATTATTTATGTGCAAGCATAGGTAGCCAGCTTTCGGGCACAACATACACTGCAGTTCACCTTTCTTTTTTCAATAAGTTGAGGGGTAGTTTTGTCTTTTAACATTGAAGAGGTAAATCCTATGGAATGATAAAATCCATTGTAGGATTCATGGGATTTTGAAGGAATTCAATTCCTTCCATCAGGCGAATAAACGGAGGAATCATGGGATTAAGGAAAGAAATGTGGTAAAAACGAACATCAGTTCCTCCAAATTTTGTACACCAAAACGGAGCCTAAATTTGTTTGTTGGAAACACAACAATCAATTTCGGCAAAAGTTATGCATCTTTCCGTCAATAAAGGGTTATTTGGTTGGTTTTCCATTGAGTCATGTATGGATAAAGCTATTTATATGGCTTAATCTGTCTGTATAGATTTGGAAGTTTTTTGTTTATGAAAGTTTTCTTTTCATGGAATGAGCATGTTTTTTAATTGGGAGGTGCGGGTCTAGAAAAAACTTGGCTTTCTGCATAAAGCTCCACTCTGAAAGCTCACTGTATAAGCCACTTTCTATATCATTAAATCCCTACCAAAAGAATCATGTATTGTTGGCCAAAGAAGCGGTGAATGACATTAAGCTCATTAAGCTGCTAAGAAACAAGCATTTAGTAAATTAGGCACAATTCCTTTGTGTATAAGAAAAGAGCGAAGGGAACAATGGAGACTCAGAAAACAAGTTCCCGTAGGCGGTAGCATCTTTGAAGTGGGTCAAGGCCACAAAAACCATTGCAACATCATCAATCACACACGAACGTTAACATATATACAGTTTCCGACAGGATAAAGGGTGTACACTTCTTCTTCCCCTTCTTAAAACCCCCTAATTGTTTTCTCATCACTTCTATCATCTTCTTTTGAAGTACATAATACTTATGTACGACAAATACTCACACACACTTCTCACTCAGGTTTGAACTCTTTACTTCTTTAGAGGTTGGGCTCTACCAGTACCCAGTAGCATTGGACCAACGACCCTTTGGTTATTACCTCTATATCTTCTCATTCAAGAAGGAATTTAACATAAACACTATTTTGGAGTTTTTTGGTATGTCTCTGGTAGCACACGGATAATAAACCAAACCAAATCGGTATATGCCACACAGAGATAAGGTTTGAGGGTAGGGTGCACACAAACGTTTCCTCTACCCCAGAGGCTAGAGAGCATGTGACACTGGTTCGACAGGGTTACACCTCTAGTTTACATCAAATTCACTTCTAGATTTCATCAGCCTATTCAACAGAGTTGTGACCACTCAAACCTATGTAATGTAACGATTTCGCTTAACAGAAGCAGCAAGAAGGTAGAGGTTGATTGAACCATAGAGAGAAAAACAAACCAAAAAGAACCAAGCGGTCTTTCATATTTGCAGACAGACTACGGTCATAAAGATTGGAAAGTGGCATGCTCTGTTGGAACTTAGCTTATATGTGAGAAACTTTGTTCCACATAGGAGCCTCATGGAAAATTAACCCACTTAATCAACACCAACCCTCGAAAATTAAATAAATCATTCAAGAGCTTAGGCCTTGACGTGTGGGTATTCATGGTGGGCCTTCATTGCACATATATACGTTTAAGGTCAAAAGATGGGCCTTGGGCGAAATGTCGCGTAACCGGGACAGTGACTTGCACGGGTTCTCCCGCGACTTAACCCTTGCGCCAGGTCGCATAACTCACTGTTCGCGTTTGGCAATTACGGCGGTTGAGGAGGGAAACTTATATATATGTTGATCGATTTCTGGCAAATGGGACACGAAAATCCTCTCTGGTTTCTCCATATTTCTCTCTCAAATTTCCATCATCAAACATCTTTAATTCGCTAGATTCAAGTACCAAACTTGAATTAGATTGTCGGTGAATCTTTGTGTTAGGACACTAAGTTGTTGTGTTCGGGTTCATATGATTGTCTTTGTTGTTTTTATGTTCATGTCATAGATTTTGTATAAGAATCTTTAATTTTCTGTAAATCTATTACATACATTTACTTTGTGATTGATTACTCCTAACATGCTCAAGAGTCAAGATACAAGGGTTGTGGCATAATGGTTGAGACCCTGCAGGATGTGGATGTGGTGGAATATCCATCTGCCCTGGGGTTCGATTCTAGGCATACACAACAATTGTGATCACTGAGTTTATCAGGATTGATTTCTTGCGGTCACAATTTGCCGGGATTAGTCTAGTGGCGAATAGCAATCGGATCCAATTCTATCTTTAGGCCAAGCATTATAAAGATCAATTGCATATTCTTAATTTCAGCCAAATGTACCATAAAACAGCAACGAGAATCAAATAATTGATGGCAATATTCAATCATCAATAGCAGATCAACAAAAATAGACCTTTGTTTACGAGCAGTGACGAAGACGCTTTTTGAGTTTCTTTAACTTATGCTTGTTCATCTTCTTCTTCCTTTTCTTCTTAACACTGTCCGCCCAGATCATCCGGGTACTCGAATTCGACCCATCCAGTCCCGGATCCTCCTCCGGCTTAGAATCTGGGAACCCAGTTGAAGAAATCGGATTCAAGAAATACCCAACTGAAAAACTAGGGTAAGCATGGAACCGATTGAAATGGGTCGATTTGTCCTCAGATGAAGATGCGGGAAAAGGGTTTGTGGTGTTCGGTTCAAGATGATGAACAAGATGAGGGGTTAGAGGTTGTGCTGAATTTTGATGGTTGAGTAAAGCTCTAATCGTGCTTCCATTGAAGGGTTTGCGTAGAATCTTATGGAACATTTGGGACATTTTGCATTTCTACCAGTGTTTGTGACAGAGACGAAGTAAAAGGGGGGAGGGATTCGGGGGATGGAATAAAGAGAGAAAAACTAACCGTAGGGTATACAGTGGTGTAATTTGTAAGAATAAAGATATTTTTATATATTTTAATTAATATATAATTATGTAGTTAATATAAAAAAGTATACGATGAAAAAAAAAAAGAAGGTATAAAATAAATTAGGCAATTAATTATAAGATTGCAAAATATAATTTTTTTAAAATCTATTAGAAACTTTAGGTAAAAATTTCTGCGTAAAAAGGTAAAATCAAAATAGTGCCCCCATGCAGGATCGAACTACAGACCTCCAGTTTACAAGACTGGCGCTCTACCACTGAGCTATAGGGGCTTTTTGTTTAAATTTTCTACTTAAATCCTATACTCTTATTTATAATGCAATTTATTTTTATTTAATTTCACAAATCAGTTATATTTATTTAATTTCGTTGGGTTTCTTTTTACAAATAAATAATAACTTCCATAAAATTATGAAAAAACTTGATACATAATTTAAAGATCAAATCGTTTTTATATTTTACAAAGTTCGTTCGGATGCAAGTTCGGTAAATATTAATTGCGAGTAAAACCTGGATTAATAGTTTGATTGCAGTCATTTATGTCTATCACGACAAATAAATTCGTACATGCTTTTAACCTTTGGTGAGATTTTAACTTCTGATCTCTTGGGAAATTGGTTGCTGTGAGGCCATAGTGGTCTGTATTTCATAACACCATTGGATCAATACCGCATAAAAGGTGAACCACATGTTTATGGCTCTTGTCTTTCAGGATGTTGTTGACGTCTCTATGATCAAAATACTGTAAGAATATGTGAAATCTTATTATATTACTCTTCAAAAAAGCTCTTGGAAAAAGATACGAGGTTCCAACATATATCGAGCAGAAATGGTCTTATTTCAGCCGATACGAGACTTCTAAGAACTATACTTATTTCTAATGTTATTCAAGAAAAAGACACCATCTTTTCTAACTAGAAACATTCAACTTAGATCCATCACATTGATAACCAACATACGGCTTCATCGTACGCTTACATTTATCGCAAACCATGGTTCCCCGAACCATCCCTTCATCATACGGGACCACGGCTGTGTGATCACAAGCCGCGGTCAAGTTAACGGCATCATCAACACTTCTGATTGCACCCACAAACCCCAATCCTGCAACCCTTTCGGCCCAAATAGGAAACCGATCAAAGAACTCCATGATCTTGTTCCCTTCCAACTTCACAAAATCTTTAGAACTCCCACATCCAAAGATTGCCCAATTATTGTTACGGTCGTCAGTTTCTAGCAATTCTGAAACTTGTTTCAAAAGGGTTTCGTAGTTAGGAAATGTTTGAGTTCGTCCTACCCGAAGAATCGAATCTCTAATCCTCTCCAACCTTAGCCAGAAAAGCCGAATCTTTGTGGGAGTTAACGAGTTGTCTTTATTCACAACAGCTAACGTCGTTCGCGTGGTTTCATTTGCATTTCTGCTGCCAACGTATATCACTCGAAGCTGCAAGCCTACATTTCGTAGTTTTTCGATTCTTGATTCGAACTCGTTGATCCAGTCTAGGTTACTAGTTCCACAGATGCAAATGTTTTCGTCCGCTTTCACCTAAGAATAAACAACAGTGTTTTTGTCATAAGAGGTCAAAGATGTAATAGACTGCTTTATAGGACTTAAGTTTATTGGACTAAATATTGTACGTCTATAAAAAGGTGTTACAACCAGATGTGTTAGGAAGACATATTTTCAAATAATATCACTTAAAAGATTTATATGAAGCTTTATTTCAAAATTGTCTTAAAAAACTTGTGAGGAGAACATTCTATCAACTTATTGTAACACCTTTATATATGACAAGACAATTGTTTTGGTCGGTCTATTAAGACATTTAAATATCTTACCATTGTTTTCGTTAGGAAGTGATCGATTCCATCGAACATAAGCTGCAGATTCCAGGGTTCTTCGAGCTCCCAAAGCTCTTTCTCTCTCGAATTCGAAAAAGGAAAAGCTTTTGGTCCCCAAATCAGCACCATATCAATTGCATTATAATTTGAAGCCACTCCTACTGAATCTAATACTACCATCAATGGATCTTCTTCAAACTTCCATTCTTCTCTGATCATTCTCACTACTGCTGAGTTTAGGAGCCATGGCTGCCTGACTGACAACCACGGTAACGAGTTCGATAGATAATCGAAACCCATGTGTTCATCAAGAGTCCACGTCTCTGAAGACGGCACCCACACGATTTCGTAGTCTTGTTCTATGCTTTTGTTGTGAGGATGCTCTTTTGTTTGTTGTAGTAGTAATAGAGTTTGATCTATTGGCAAAAGATCTGGCTTTGAAACCAGAAGCATGACTACCTTGTGTTTCAGTCTAGATATGCCTACCTGTTTTGGAAAGCAGTTGAAATTATACTTAGAATATTCCAAAAGATCCTCAAGGAAGGTTTCAATATATATCGAGAACAAAATGGTCTAAATTTAACCAATGTAGGACTCTAACACGCCCCCTTTAACAAACGCTAGACGGGCATGGATTGTTCCATAGTGTCAAGATGGATTAGATGAATACATATTGCCTCTAAGTGTCAAACCCCTAGACTCTGATACCATTTTATAATATGTGGAATCCCAACAGGTTTCTCTTCAGAAAAGCTATGTAAGAGAATGGATTTTGCAACATATATCGAGCATAAATGGAATTTCCATTGACCATTCCAGTTCCTTCAAATTCCATCAGATTTCAACGAACCAAAAGCCACATAAGAGTTGGAGCCTCCTTTCAGTCTCTTGTATCAGATATACAGTTATTTTATATTCTTACATGGTATCAGAGCACAGGTCTATCCTACCATCAAACCGTTGGAATCTCCTTTTTGTTAACAAGGGTTCTAAAAGATACAGATTCAAAGGGTTCCAAGATGATTCTTGTAAAGAAAGTAGTTACCTTTGCTTGAGAAGAAGAATCTTTGAGAGGCAAATCATCATTCAAAGAAAAGAATAAGTGAAGTACTTGCTGGTTATCAACTTGTGTCTGATCTTTAACAAGATTCATCAGCTTTTTGTACACCTTCTGCTCTGCAAAAAACACCAAAAGGGAGTTCAAAAAAACTACATACAGAGTACAAATCTGCATTAAAGATTCAAGATTCCTGTGGGTGTTTTACATACCAATCTGATCTTGAGCTGCATCAACCAGCATTCTTAAGCAACTGCATAATCTGCTCAACCTAAGAGCTAAACTAGACAAACCCCATGCTGCATTCGCGGTTATACTCGAATTTCTGGAAAAAAGCTTCGATCTTTAACATAATATACCAACAAATCAAATCCCGAAAACAGATTCACCTATCACTGCAACAAAATCGGTTTTATAGAACGCTGAAGATGTCTAAATGTCCTACTAGACTGCTTTACAAAACTGAGTTCACAAGACCGAACAAACAGTTTATTAGGACATTTAGACATATATATTTAACATCCTATAAAACCGATTTGGTTGTTGCGAAGAAAATTGACCAAGAAAAGTGAAAGAAAAAGAACATGCACTTGCTCCTGCTTCGTGGCAATCAAGTCGGTAATCTGAGAAGCAGATATCAAGGAGCTTCTAAAGATCCAATAAGTAGCCAAATAAATCTGAGATTTTGCAGCAGCCATTAACGTACGATCATGATCATCATAAAGCACAATCTCTTCAAGAGGAAGACCTTCAAATCTAACCACACATTTGGCCAATTCCATCATTTCTTTGACCACCATTTCCATAGCCTTAAACTGAGGTCTCAAACCTTCAAGATTTCTCCCACACAAGTTCTTGAGTGCTGCAAGTGATGCTGCTAATAAATTGTGTGAATAAACCTCGAGAATCAGCCGAAACTCACCGTAACTTATTGAAAACGCGGTGAGTATTAGAATCACTTTTGCATCCCATCTGTAGTTCCCTAACATCTCGAGTAAAACTAGAGTTCTCGTGTGGATATCCATGGTGTTGTGACACTCGCATAGTATCTGAAATTGCTAGAATTGTATTAGAAATTATGAAGGATTGATTGAGCCAAACATTTTCGTGTTCGTTAGGAGGTCTCGAGTTTTACTAGAGAGTACCGCATGTGACATCTTCAAAATCGTGTGCCTCAATGTTTCTTTCGAGTCGAAGCTTTCTATGCTACCGAGAATACGAGCATCAACAGCCTGAAACAGACATGTTTGCTTATAAAGATCAAGACACAATTTTGGATCAAAGGGATCAAGATGAGATATGATCAAACGAGAAGGTGTTCAATTTGCGAAAAGGAAAGAAGTTTCAAGATCACATTTGATTCCAGAGTAAAATCACATATGATATTACATGTCCAAAAGGATCAGAGCGACTTGGTCAATGCAACCAAGGGTTGCGGGAAAGGCCCCGCGCTCAATGGCTGCTCAACGCAACATGTTTGTATCACATGTGATCTTGAAACTTCTCGACATCTTTCAAATTGACCGTTTTCTCGTTTGATCATGTCTATTTATTAGTAAACACACTATAAGATACTTGATAACCAACTGTTTTCGGTCACTGTTTACCTAGACTGAACCTCTTACCTGATTAACGCTTTTCCAATTTGTGTGCTTAGACGCGTAGAACATGACACTTTCCATGGCTTGAAACAAAATCTTGCAATCCACATGACGACAGCCATCCGCTTCATGAGTGAGTAGAGTCTTGTTTATAATGAACTCTTGTTCAACAGACAGTTCAGTAGAAGAAAACTGAGGGATAAAATGGTCATTTCCGGTTAACTTCATGGTTGAACCCGACTCAAATGAACTCAACTCCTACATTTCTCAGTTAAAAGAGAGGTGGGATTTAACATTGAAGGCTAAAACTTTAGGTGAATGGACATGGTACAAGTGCTTATAGCATGAGTACAACATCATATGTTATCTACAGTTGATTTGATTTGGGTCCATATCTCTAAATATGGTAATAGACATTTAAAAAGGAACAAAAGGTAGAAGACAATTAAAGAAAAAGAAAAAGAATGTGTTGGTTCTTAAACCTTCTTGTAAGCATGTAATATGTTGGAATATATTCCAAAAGCAAAATAAATCAGAAAAAGTAAAGTGAAAGTCCTATGAAACTGAATAAATAAGCCAAATATATTACATATTTATTTATCTGTTATGATTAATATGTTAGAAGTTTACAGATTTTCAGATACTCATACGTATTTGGTAATTAATTAATATTGGAATAACGAATAGTCTTTATAATATGCGCGACTCTACCAAGTAATACTGCAGTTTCGGAAATACACCCATTGTTCCTATCGTTTCAATATGCTTATATTCGTGTCTGTCTTTAACATGCGTGTTGAACCTATAGTTTGTTTAAAGCTGCGTACAAGTCTTTAAGACAAATTAATATGCAGGTCCCTTGTGTTTTGAAGGGAAAAAAAATCTTAAATTACTAAACATAAATCACCGCCCCTTCCCCTCCCTTTCTTCTCGGCCTATAAGAGAAAGGGAAAATGATGTAAAATTTCACGGGGGAGGGGGAAGGTGGAGATCGAGGGTGCAACAATGGTGGCTACCAAGAGTGTCCGGTGGTGGCGAAGGAAGGTTGTGGGGTTGGGATTGTGATCAACAAAGTCATGGAGGGAAGGTAGGGGTTGGGTTTTTTAAATCATGTGATGTGATGACAAAAAAAGGTTGAGAACCATGATGATCGATCTCAATCGTCCAATGGTTTTAATCAAATGCCATTCAAAACGGTGGTATTTTTGTAATATTTGTGAAATTCCTACCTAATCTCGCATCTACTTTGAAATTTCTACACTGGTAATTTTTAAAAGTATTATCTAATTTCAAACGCATATATTAGCATCGTTGGATCAAGAAATAGATCCAAAACCAATATACCATATTCCCAACATCAATAACAAATCGGAACCATGACCATTGCCGACAACCTTCTCCACACCGGAAACCATCTCCATCCATCTCTGTCGCCGACAACAAAGGGGATGTTTACCAAATTTTTTATTAAGTTCTATACGAATAAATTTGTTTGTCCGGATAAATTTGTCTGCTTGGATAAATGGGTCTTGCTGTTTACTTTTTTTTATCTGAACCAACAGTCTGAATAACATAAATGACCTATTTACCCTCCAATATTAATTATTTGAACATCAAAACAAAAAATCATAAAGAGGCCGAGGATGTCTCATATGGGAAGGAGGTGGTGCTTTAAATAAGGGGTAGAAGTGTTATTTTTGTGGTTGAATGGAGACAACACACCATTTCTATCTGTGCAATTAAGTCATGTTCTGTGTGAATAAGTCGTAAGTAAACAACTCAGATGAACTGTACGAATAAGCCATATAAACCAATAACAATGTTGCATGTACGTAATATAATAACTTGATTTGGTTATCTTTTTATACAATAACTTCCGTTTGGCATTCTCATTGCATATTTATAAAAAATAATAAAAGATTATCAGCTTAACTTTTTTCTTTTTGGTTAACCACGAATATTTGGATCAGCTTCAACATACCTTTAAGTGATTCCATGACTAATCCTAGGGGATCTCAAACAGTCAAGAAAATCTTTGGTTTCAATATTGAAAGATTTAAACCAGTAACCTCTAAGAGTACCCAACAACCATATTATTTTAGAAATTTTGAAAACTGAGAAAAGTTTGTTCCGACGGCAACTATATATACTAAACTTTACTATAAAATAAAAGAAAAACAGGAAAGAAAAATAAGAAATCTTCAAATTTAAGAAGAAAAATGAGAAAATTTAGCATAACATTTCTCAAAGAATCTAGACTTATTGCTGGTTGAATTAAGCCACAACTCCCCAAGGTTATTATGGAACTTAGGTCTCGTTTACGCTTATCAGGTAAGCTCTTACTTGCATGTTCACCACTCTCACTTGCCTTATGAGGTAATACTTTTTGCCATCAAAATGGATTGATGGTAGACATTTATAACCCAATAAACGCTTACCGGGTAAGACTCATCACCCTCACTTACTGGGTAAGACTCTCGATTATTGTCTTCCTTCTTATCGGATAAGACTCTCGGTCCTTACTATATTCATCGGTAAGGTAATATAGTCGGTGAACACTTACCAATGTAAGTATTTAACATTGTATTTAATAAACGGATACTTAATAATCCATCTTCATATGTGTTCAAGTGTTATGGGACAAAAACACTCCAAACACGCAAATAACACACAGTTTTTAACTTAAAAACCGACATAACAAATCATACATTTTATGTGGTAAGGTGATTGTTACAAAATGAGTTATAACTTACCAAACCATCCGTCTTGAACTCAGAAAAATACAATCTATATATACATATATATATATATATATATATATAATATATAGTGTGTTTTGTTGGCTGAATCCGAAGGGATTGTCGTTTTCATCGATTAAGTATTTCATGAAACCAAACAATTACCATCACAAAACCAACAAAAAATGGAGTACTACAACATGATCCAGAGCCTGATATTCTCTTCAACAAGATGGTTGTATTCCCATTTATGGTTTTCAGATATAGCCATGGCACTCTTGTTCATCTTCATCTTCAACTCCATTCTTCAAAGACTAACCACAACCGGTCCCATGACATGGCCGGTTTTCGGCATTCTTCCAACCGTAATGTTACACGCTACCAGTATCTACGAATGGGGTGGCCAAGCTTTGATCAAATCCGGTGGAACCTTTCCCTATAGAGGTATGTGGATGGGTGGTACTTATGGGATTGTTACATCTGATCCTGCTAAGATTGAATACATTCTCAAAACAAATTTCAAGAACTTCCCGAAAGGAAAAGCTTATAGAGAAAGGTTTTACGATTTTCTTGGAGACGGAATCTTTAATGCCGATGATGAGTTGTGGAGGCAGCAGCGTCGTGTGGCTAACTCGGAGATGCATTCGACTCGGTTCATGCAGTTCTCGATGGATGCCATTGAGAAGTTGGTGAATGAGAAGTTGTTGAAGGTTTTAGAGGCTAAAAGAGGGTGTGCTATCGATTTGCAAGACGTGCTTCTTCGTTTTACTTTTGATAATACTTGTGCAGTGGCATTTGGTGTCGATTCCGGGTGCTTGGAAGTTGAATTACCGGAAATACCCTTTGCGAAAGCGTTCGAGCAAGTGACGTTTGCGAGTTTGATGAGGTTCTTGACCCCTCCCTATGTGTGGAAGCCGATGAAGTTTTTCAGATTAGGGTTTGAGAAAACACTGCATGAAGCTGTCAAAATTGTGCATGATTTTGCTGAGAAAACAGTAAGAGAAAGAAAGATGGAATTATCATCATCATCAAACAAGGAGGGTATAAATGGTAATTCACGATGCGATCTTTTGTCAAGGCTTATCATCCTTGAAAAAGATAAAAAAGATCCATTTTTTACTGATAAATTGCTTCAAGATTTTTGCATAAGCTTCATCTTAGCAGGTAGAGACACCAGCTCAGTGGGGTTAGCATGGTTTTTCTGGTTAATTACCAAAAACCCATCAGTAGAAACCAAGATCCTCACGGAAGTCCGAGAGATTTTTCGACAACGTGAAAACCCCACCAAAGAAAACCAAGAAAACATCTCTTTCACACAAGAAGAACTCAAAAAAATGGTGTATCTACAAGCTGCAATATCAGAATCTTTACGTCTATACCCTCCTGTCTCATTTGACCACAAAGAGCCACAAGTGGACGACATTTTCCCTGATGGGACCATGGTCGAAAAGGGTTCACGAGTCGTCTACTGTATGTACGGCATGGCTCGGATGGAGTCCATTTGGGGAAAAGACTGTTTCGAGTTTAGACCCGAGAGGTGGATCAAAGATGGCGAATTCGTGAGCGAAAACCAGTTTAAGTACACCGTGTTTAACGCAGGTCCAAGGTTATGTGTAGGAAAGAAGTTTGCATATACGCAGATGAAATTGGTGGTAGCTTCGATATTATGGAGGTATAGAATAAAAGTTGTGGAAGGTCACAAAGTGTGTCCAAAAATAAACACAACACTTTATATGAAGTATGGGTTATTGGTCACATTGGAGCCTAGGCCAAACAGTATAGATTGATGTTGATTTTGACTTGATGGAGTTGACTGGTTCTTTAATTATGATTGTATTAATGATTATCAACTTATTAATTTGGACCGTTGATCTGATTTCGGTATTAATGATCTGATGTTGTGTGGTTTGTGAAAGATTGTGATTTTTGTTTTTATGATTTTGAAATTTTTCGATTTTTGTTGTTGCAAGTTACAATTTGTTGTTGTTTTTATTCTCATGGTTTGTAATTTATTGTTGTTTCTGTCTTTGAGACAAAATATGTTTAAAAATTAATTATTTAGTCTTTAGTGAAGAAAAAAATATATTATTCAACTATTTTATCATAAACAATAAATAATAATATAATTCTTTATCTATTACCTTTTTCATAAAAAAAACATATAGTTTTATTAAATAAAAAGATAAAAATAGCAAAAGAAAGACCAAAAAATATATTTAATAAATTAAAAAAGAAAAATAAATTAAAAAGATTAGAATATCCATAAATTAATGAAAACAATAATAAATTACAAACCACATGGACAGAAAACACAATTTCAAAACCATTGGAATGAAACTCACAATCTTTCTCAAATTAAAGGCCGAAAAATTGTATTTTACTTTTTTTTTTGTAATTGTTTGTGGCTTCGGTTTTTACTTTTTGGGTTTTTACTTTTTGCAATATCAAATTGCTTTATACTTTTTACTGTAACTCTGCTTTTATTTTATTTTTCTGATTTTGGTCAGGAAAAACTCTAACATCGCAAGAAAAAGTAGGTTTGCGGTGTCAGATTTGCTAGTTAATGGACATTTAAAAAAAAATTGGTGGCTAATTTTTAAAATCGTTTAGTCAATAAGGACAATTGAGTTAATTACCCTAAGAATGAGATACAAGTATAGAAGGGCATTTCTATCGTGTCCGATGAATCAAATTGGATAAAAATGTAGACCCATGATGTCGTTAGTCCTGGTTGTCGATCATTTTTTGAGTTGGGTCTTTTTTAATTGGATTTGATAAATATAAGTCTTTTTCATACTAGATAAAGCCCCAATCAATCTGTTTCGAGACCATATAAAACACAACTTGGTTTTTGAAAATTATTAATTTTTGAAACTTTTTTGTCAATGGACCGGATCAAAAGCCCAGACCAATAGGGAGTAGACTATGACCATACTTCGTTCACCTAAGCCAAATTGATCCCTTACAAGGTCAAATCATGTTTGAGTGTCGACCCGAGTTTAACCCGTGAGACCTTTTTCCGGACATACAAGTTATAATGGTAGTGTTGATATGCATTTTGCAATATCTTTAGCAAAATAGATAAAAGGGTCGTTATTTTATTAATCATACAAATTGCAGTAACTATCAAATTTTACCCTGGTTAGGTTAAATGCATCCATATACGTTGATAAGTGTTTTCATAGTTTTTAATTTGCTCTTCACACACATCAATATCAAGACGTTTTTTACATCTACAATACATGATTCAACATGATTTTTTTATTATTAACCTGGATATTCAACCCGCAATGCGAGCCGACTAAACCCAGGGTGACCACCTGCTTTGCAGATAGCCCGAAGTCATCGTATTTGAACCTCCGTGGTCACAAGAGGATTTTTATTTCTTATTGGATTTAAACATGAGATCTCCTAGTACTTTTGATCTTTGGAGCCAAACTCAAACCAATCAAACACCACTCTTATGGTTGATTCAACATGATTTTAACATAAAAAAAAGTATATATAACATCATCCTTTTACTCTTAGTTACAATTGCACCACTTTATCGATAAATGATATAATTTGTATAATTAATAAATATTTCGTGTTTGAAAAAATAAAAATACAATAAAGTTTTCATATGTTATTCACAATTTAACATCCTTGCGTTTTTGGACCCAAGTAAGAAGTTAGGGTCTTTAATTGAACAAAGTTCAAAACTCAAGGGGGTGTATGTGTTATTTTGAAGAACATATGTAAACGCAGCGAGCAAACCCCCTTTCTCTTGCTACCCAAGATTTCTTTGCTATTTTTTCTAATTCTCTTTGCAGATTTCAGATTTCTACGAATCGGTTGCGCTCTCCCTCAATCTTGAGCTCGTAAGTTCATTATATTTAATAATCATCATATGCATTTTCTAGTTGGTTACAAATTTTCATGTAGTATCTAAATTTCGATCAGTAGTAATCCCTAGCTTGGGGTTTTTTTGTTTTCCTTGTTGAAATTTGGTTTATTTTTATGATCCGAATGGTGCTCGTTGAAATTTCAGGTATCTGAAGATGTCAAACGAAGCAATGGATGTTCCGAAAACCGGATTCAGTTTCGACTTGTGTAGGAGAAACGATATGCTGGCGAAGAAAGGCCTCAAATCTCCGTCGTATCTCAAAACGGGAACTACCATCGTTGGTTTAATCTTTGAGGTATGTTATACTTCTATTATGTTTGATTGTTTGCTTGCTCTGTTAACTGTTTTGTGGATTCTGTTTAATTTGAATTGCGGTTATGTGAAGTAAGGTTATGGCGTTTCAATCAATAGTTTTTTATTACTGTCTAGTAGATTTTTGTTTTGCAGATTGTTTGTATCACTCAGAGAAATTGTGGCTAGGGTGTGTTATTAGTGGTGTTTAGTAGAAATACATGAATTAGGCATCGGGAGTGTATAATATACATAGGCACTCCTAATTGAAGCTTTATTATAGAAAGAATAGACGGAACTAAGCTGTTCATCTGCATCAAGTTTTGGAAGTTGTTCATTGATATAATAATCTCTTTTTCATTAGGAAATTTAGAATCTAAACTATGGAACCTTAGCAGTTATGTCATACAATACAATGTTTTAGAAGGTCTTAAGTGGAGGTTTGGAGGTGGCTGCTAGGTGGTAGAGTAGCCTTCTAGTGGGGATTGAGCGATCATAAGTGGGAGCATAAGAGGCTCTTTCAAAAATACCAAAATATAATTTTTTTGATCATGTAGATATATAACAATTAAAAGTCTGATACAATTACTTTTCTAAAAGTGATTTATATTTGTAACCATTATACTTGGCTATCATTTTCTAAAGAACCTTTGTATTTGCAAAATTCTCTAGAAAAACACTACATGGAAAAGGTTGAATTTTTTTTGACTAGTTTCATTGTTCCATCCAAAATAATCAAAGAGACACCTTGCAAGTGTAGAAAAATCAATTGATGAATGCAGTTAATCTTTGGAGTGCTTAATTCATGGATTAGTTGCAGTGGGTGATGCCCAACTCCTTGGTGGCTGATAAGTAGCCCAAACTAATCAGAGAGGCCATGAAAGGTTGACGCCTGGATGGCCACTTAAGCTGCCCTAGGTGGGAATTTTCAGAACAGCGAGTTTAGATATGTGAATTTCATTTCCAAAACAGTAGATTATGATTGGTTATAGGATTCATAAGGGAAACCTTCTGCCTGATTACACCCAAAGAAGAAGGAAAAAACCATTACTTACAAGGGAGCTTATTGGTGAACATTATCACTACTGATCAGAAAGTTGTGCGAGCGTGCTATAACTAGCATTCAGCGACATAACCAACCTAATAAACCGTTCCGTATACCTCTAATTATTGTGATAACAAGCATTTCAAAGAATCTGAATTGCATTGGCCAACCTGGACCAGAAGATGATGTAGAAAAACTACATAATAGTGATACTTGAAGGTAGGATGAGATTACATCTAACAGTTGAAACTTGAAAGGAAAAGTAGGAGCTGCTTCTGTTGGATATATTGTACTTTAGAGATGACCTGCTGTTATTCTAAAACTTTTACAAAATGAAGTTGAACATTTGCAAGTTCCAACCATTTATGCTTCCTGTTCTACACTTCCAGCCATGAGTTTGAATGCATAAGTTTGAAGCATAAACCAAAAATGAAAGCTGCTGTGTGCCTGTGTTGATACCAACATAGCCAAGGCCTGCTACTAGCATATAAAAAAAAGAAATTGTCGGGAAGGAAAAACTCAAGTAAGGGAGCAGAAGAAAAGAGAACTGATGCAATGAAAAATAATACCTCCACTGGGACCGAAAGCAAGAAGAAAGACCAAAAAAGAAAAGCAACAACAAAACAAACACATCATATCACTCGAACAGCAAGGGACATACTCATGGTAACCATTCAAGCCGACAAAATTGGTAATATCATCCGAACGTGAGAACCAGATGATTATCACCTGCTTAAGAGAAAGTTATTACATCCACTGTTTTGTACTCCTGCAAGCATGAACATTATGTAAATTAGTGCTTACCATGACGAGAATAGTTTCTCCTGAGATGAATCAACTCTGATTCTTTTTTCATCTCATCTTCAGAATGGTGTCATTCTTGGAGCAGATACCAGAGCCACTGAGGGTCCCATTGTTGCTGACAAGAACTGCGAAAAAATTCATTATATGGCACCAAACATTTACTGCTGTGGAGCTGGAACTGCTGCTGATACAGAAGCTGTTACAGGTACCCTTCTAGTCATTTATATTGCGTTGTACCACTGTGTTTCGGGTTCCATCCAATAAACTTAATTGGAGATTTCTCTTTTTGTTAGACAATATCAGCTCTCAGCTGAAGCTGCATAGATATCATACTGGTCGTGAATCAAGGGTTGTAACGGCACTTACTCTATTGAAGTCTCATCTTTTCCGGTAAGCTTAAATGTGGTTGTATTATTTATTTTCGTTATTTCGAAGTACCTGACTTTGCTTTTGCTTACCCAGCTATCAAGGTCATGTATCTGCTGCTTTGGTACTTGGCGGAGTTGATGTGACAGGCCCACATCTACATACCGTGAGTTGATTTTGTTTTTGCGCATCTGAAAATCCATTTTACTCATAAGACAATGTACTAATTGTTCTGAATCATCATTTTTTAGATCTATCCTCATGGATCAACCGACACACTCCCATTTGCCACAATGGGCTCTGGTTCTCTTGCTGCAATGGCTATCTTTGAATCGGAGTATCGTGAAGGGCTTACTGTGAGTTTTAACAGCTATTGATCGAACTTTTACACATTAAATCAACTCACCTGTACATACCCCTGTTCCTTATATACATTTTCTTTCTCTTACTCCCTCTACTTTTCTTAAATGAAAGGATTCTCTTCTGTGTAAGTTCAAGGCTGTTACTTTCTTGAATGATCCGTTGACTGTTTATTTATTTTGTCCTTAGAAGAGTAATTCATAACATTTTGATGATTAACGAGTATTAATTTTTTTTTTTTATTAATTGTTTTTTTCAGAGGGATGAAGGAGTGAATTTGGTAACCAAGGCTATATGCTCTGGCATATTTAATGACCTGGGAAGTGGAAGCAATGTAGATGTCTGTGTGATAGAAAAGGTCTGTTCTTTTCATTGTTGACTATATAAAACCAAACAAGCTTACTATGTATGCAGACCTGACCTCCCTCTATCTCAAAGAGTAGAGCGGTTGTTTCCATGAAGACCCCCAGCTTGAGACATTTAAATATATCCAGACATTTAAATCACATTGTATCACCTTTGGCATCTGGTTTCCTATATGTTCACACTTGTTTCTACAGGGTAAGAAGGAATATCTGCGGAATCATCTGACTCCAAATCCCCGTACTTACATCAGTTCAAGAGGCTATACATTCTCAAAAAAGGCTGGTAAGTAATTTCATTCAAGACTCGATATTCTGGGATCAATGTTTTATCTGGTCGATCACCATTTTACTCTCTAATTATTCCCAAAAGTGAAATACTCTTTCCGTCCCAAAATAAGTTTCCACAATAGAAATAGCACAAATTTTTAGACATGAATTCTTAGTGCACTTTTTAGTTAACCAAATGACAACTTTACCGTTAATTAATGTATTGATCTTTTCAACTCTTAAATGTTTGTTCATTAATTAAGGGTAGATTTGGAAATTTAGTTATCTAACATCTATTTTTGAAAGTGGACACTCGTTTTGGGACAAACATAAATAGAAATGTGGAAACTTATTTTAGGATGGAGGGAGTAAAACAAAAAGAGGTTGAGTACCATTTTTATCATGATTTGATTCTGATGATCTAATCTATGCATTTACAGAAGTTCTTCTTACAAAGATTACACCACTGAAGGAGCTGGTTGATGTAGTTCAAGTGGGAGGAGATGCCATGGAAGAATAAATTTGTCAATTTTAAGGTTTATTTAAGCAAACTATGTTCTCTTTTCTTTTAGAATCAGTCGCTTGAGTTTTCAATCATGATCGGACTTACGTCTCAGTGATTTTAATCCTGTTGTTTTGTATTAACTCGTGCTAAGCTTGTTCGATTACCACAATTTAAAGATTGACTACAGAAATTTCTAGGAAATCGCACCATCTTTTTCGGGTAACCATTGTCTGGGCCAGCTTATGCGCATCGATAATCCCTTAGGAGTCAGGTGAACCTCCATTGCCAAAAAGGCTTTGGCAGTGTCTTGATTGGAACAAGAGGATGATGAGATTTTCAGTACTACATTACCATAGCCTTAACCGATGCGGTACAACCCAAAGTGGGGATTTTTAGGTATATAAACCTTGGGGTAGGTTCCGTTAGGAATCTAAAACTAATTAGGAACCGCCTAAAGCGCGACATGTGCCATATTCAATGAGCATGAACATGTTATTCATCATGAATGTCGTAACATATTCATTGTGAATGTGTGTCCATAAACATTCATCGTGAATGTGTCCATAACACGTTAGTATTCATCATGAATGTATGATTCATGATGAACAACAATTCCATCTTTAAACATCTCTGTCATCATGAATGTATGATTCATGATGAACAACAATTCCATCTTTAAACATCTCTGAAAAGTTTTCCACCAATCATCTTCCCAGTGCTCTTTCTTTTCCAAAAGCACGAATCATCTTGCAGTTACAGGATCCCACATATGACTTAGGAGTGGGACAAAAATGCATTTTTTTGTCCCACCAAAAATAAGTAGAATAACAACCAGTGAGATGAAACAAGATTGGTAAATTACTAAACTAGTCATATCAAATTAAAACCCTAAACCTTTCAGGTTCTTTCACCCGTCTAGTTCACTCTCGTCCATCCAGCCAGTCCCTTCCGGTGCAATCTCATCCACCAATCGTGATTATTTGTGAAGTAGTTCAACAGTTTGTGAAGTAATGCAAAATGTATGAATAAAGTTACTAAATTTTATTGACAATTTCCAAATGTATAATATTTACGTATAGAATCCTATCGTAATAAGTTAGCTCCTGCAATCAAGCTCCAATTGATTGCAGGATCGTATCAATCCGAATATACGGTTTCGCTGCACCTGACCCCATTGTGCCATTGATGATTTTAAACCATTGGCTAGCAGGGTCACACTTCTCATTGGTTAAGCATTTACAAGTATTTGTGACGATGGTGTTTTCAGAGTCTATATCCAGGCAAACACTTGTGCCATTGTTGATCTTGGATGAAAGGTGGAGTTTAGAGGCTGATATGGCTTCCCATTTTGAAGAAGTATCTGTGCATATTATGCCTAATTTTGCTTTCTTTCCCACTCCATCTGCTTGTAGGCAATAGTATGTACCTTTGATCGTTAGCGTCTTTCTTGGGGTGTAGTCCCAACCTTCTGCTTCGGAACATGGACCCAACGTCAACGGCTTGAATAACGATTGTCGTTGAACGCATAGCCCGGTTGATGGATGGAAGATGATTTTATGTGGGCGCGTATTTGATAATCCTGGTCCTGCATAGCATACAAAACACTAGATTAAGTGAAAATAATCTTACCTCAACCATTTATGCGTGAAGTAATGGTGTGTGCATGCAGGCAATAAGCACGGTTCTAAGTGACGTGAGGTGTGGCGTGACGGTTAGGTCAAGCCTCAAGCCTTAGGACCGACACCAAGGCCGTGATGTTTTTCAAGGCGTGACTTATGGCCGCAAATATGTATATCATATGTATAATTGTATATATATATATATACATGTATGTTTTCTACTATTACTCAGTGACTCAAAGATGATAAACAATTTATATTAGGTTATATACTTAATACTAAAAAGTAAGACAGTAGAATGTTAAATACAATAAAAGCAGATATAGTGTTGCAAAAACCGCATATTGGGCCATGGTGTGCCTTGGGCTTAACGTGGTGTCAGACACAAGCCTTGAGTTAAGGTGACTGTCGTGGTGAGCCTTTTAAAAACACTGGCAATAAGATAAAGTAATATAACAGATAATCAACAAATATAACATGTAGAATAACATAACAGTTCAAGAGCTCTAACGCCACAAGGCACAATAGCCCCAAGGATCATATCTTATGCCTTGACTTGAACCCGGTAGGATCTACTAGGCCTTTTTTTGGTTAAAGCACGGTTATAATCAGTCTCTGAAATGAGGTCTAAGGGGTTGTTTAGTTGGTTTCCCATTAATTTCTGTATGGATAAAGTTGTTTATGTATATTAGTTTGTATGTATAGATTGAGAAAGTTTTTATTTAGGAAGGTTTTTTCAAAAATAGAAGTAGCATGTTTTTTAATCTCAAGGGACGGGTTTGGAAAAAACTTAGCTTTTTGCAAAGATCTCCCCCTAGAATCTTATTGAACAAAGTCACTTTTTATATCATCAAACCACTACCAAACCCGAATAAACCGTGAGTCCCATTAAGTTCATTAAGTTGCTAACAAACAGACCCTAAAAGTATGACATATACAGACATTACCTCTACCCCAAAGGGTAAAATACACCGTTATCGTGACGCTCTCGACTTACCAATAAGATCTTGAAAACCTAAACAAGTGGTTAAGACATTCTTCACATCATACAGACACTTTCTGGAATAAGAAAACAAACAAGCACAGCCTGCAAAAAGATAAAAAGCTTAAAACAAAATTCCAACTTATTACCTTGAAAAGGAGATTGAAGTGGTGATATCTTCTCCAAGAAACTTGAATTCCTTGGTTTACACCAATCCCAATTCAGCACCCCATAAAACTCCTCCATTCCAACCACACCTTGCCTAAAATAGTAACTTCCAGCAAGTGTCCATAAAGCCCAATCAAGATCATATTCAGCTGCCCATGCCAAGAAACAATTCAAGAATCTGTTGTCATTCTCATTTGTACCCCTCTGATCCACACCCCATTCACTTACAAACAAAGGGTAACCTTGGTCCAATAAGAACCCCGATTTAGCCGTTATATTTTCGACCACCCGACCGCATACGTCGTTCGGGTTTCCTGTTTCCCAATCTTCACTGTTTGAAAACCCGTACCAGTGGATTTCGTAAACCAGTTTTTGGCTAAATGTTAAGGTTAACGGTTGGGTATGAAGGAACGATAGATCTTTATCGTAGCTTAGACCGGACACGATGACTAGAACGTTAGGGTTTGCTGCGTGAACCGCTTCCGCGCCTTTTTGCATGTACCTGGTTGAATTTATCATGTGGGAAATTAAACGGTTGATAGAAATTGTGAAGGTGTTTTGTCTGATGTGTACCTGTACCAAACGCTGACGTTTTGTCTAGGCCCACGTAACTCGTTCCTCAAGCTCATACCGACAACGTTGGTCGAGCCGTTGAACATGGTGGCTACTTTGGTGAGACCCTTGAGCCAAACGTCGGGATTGAAGTACGGATCGCCGAAGAATCCGTTGCCGTCGAAGTCGCTACAACACCATCCGGGAGTGCTTATTTGATTATCTAATATCATCATAATGTTGTTCCTGTCGAGGCTCGAAACTACTTCCTATAAAATGAAAACATCTTAGGCAATAGCGTATGAATTCGATTTCTAGAGCACAAAATAATTAACATAATATAAAATAAAATAAATTTTAATTTAATTATAAAAAGTATAATGTAATTAAAAAGGATGTACATATTGTTTTCTTTTTCTTGTTGCTACCAAAAGATTTAAAAAGAACCACTGGATTTGAACTTAGCAGCTTTTAATAGCTATTTGGTTGGTTTTCAATTAAGTTCTGTATAAATAAATTTATCTGTTTGGATTGATCTGTCTATATAGATTGAAAATGTGTTTGTTTGGGAGGATTTTTTCAAAGATAGAAGGAGAGTGTTTTTTATCTGGGATATGAGTCTCCTTAAACTCATTAAGCTACTAACGTACAAGTTTTTTATGTCTCATCCGGTAACATTATCGGAGCTTATCCACTTTTTTTAATTTATGGGACCACACGTCAGATTACAGTAGATGTACCGTTAGGTAGCGTTTGATATGCAGACTGGACTGGACAAGACAAGAGGGTAGGACTGGACAGGACATGATTGAACACAACAATTGTCTGTCTGATATTTGATACGACTAGGACCGAACATGACAAAACTAGACAATTTGCCCTTAAAAGTAATTTGATGATTTTATATATATCATATAATAATTATAATTAACACAAATAAAATAAATGATTAAATAATTTAACTTATAAACATTTTTACACCATTTTCGTATACATAAATACATACATGTATAATAGTACCAAATTTTTGAATGAAAATTTTGATTTAATTGATGATAGTTCGAAAATATCTGATTTGTACAAAGGATAAATTATGTTTTATTCAGTTTGGAAGATCTTTATCAATTGGCGAAGGAACGGTGAAGATTGTTGCAAAAACAATGGTTGTGGAGGTAGAGACATTGGTGATTGGTACACGATGGTAGTTATAGATGACATGAAAATGGTGTATTGTGTGGTAGTTGTCGACAGTGATGGAGGAGGTAGTAGTGGCCAATGTCGTGGAGCTAGTGGTGGTGGTGGTAGTAGATGGCAGCAGTAGTTATGGTGACCAACGATACTAATGGTGGTGGCAATGGGCGGTGGTGGTCGGTAGTTGACAGTGGTTGTGAAGGATGTGAAGATGGTAGATAGTGATGGTGGTGATCGACAATTATGGAGGAGGTAGTTGTAACTGATGTGGTGGAGGTAGTGGTGGTTGTGGTGGAAGTGGTAATGGCCGACGGTACTAGTGGTAGCGATAGTGGTTGACAATGGTGAAGGAGGTAGTTGTGGCAGATGTAGTGGAGGCAATGGTGGTGGTCATGGTGGTGGTCATGGTGGAGGTGAGGTGGTCCTCGGTGGTAGTGGTGGTGGGTGGACGGTGGTTGTGGAGGTGACGATGGATGGTGGTGGTCGGAGGTCGAAGGTGGTTGTGGAGGTTATTGTAGTGGAATAGGAGGTGGAGGTGACCGACGGTGGTGGCGGCAACCACGACTAACGGTGGTGACTACTAAAACAAATACCATATGAAGGTTACATATCAAACAAAGATAGATTAGTAATATTTTAGTTTCTGTCTTATTTTTATCCCATCTTATCCCACCTATTTTGGTGGAACAAAAATAAACTATTTTTGTCAAACGTTGTCCCACATTGTACTGGTTCTTGTCTCTATCCCATGTCGCGCCAAACATGGTACAAGTTCTTATCCTGTCTTATGTCGCGCAAAACGTGAGACAATGAATTTTATCCTGTTTTGTCATGTTCTGTTTCATGTACCAAATGCAGCCTTAGGGGCTCCTAAACTTTTTTTTAATGTGTGAGCATGATAAAATGGTAGCACGAGCACCCCCACTCCTTAAATATGATCATGGCTCTAACCCGGTGTTCAAAAGGACGCATCATAGTGTGATATGGTGCAAGACGCGTCTCCGCCATTACGGAAAGGTCTATAGTGTTTCTATAAGGTGTGGCTCACGTCATGGCATCTTGAGGCATGCCGGGGGCGCGTTTTTTGTAATACGTGATTTTTTTTATTCTTATCTTTTGTGTTTTCACACATTTAACTTTAGATTTTAAACTTTTATAATCTAACTAATCACACCACTTACAGTTTCATAAATTCATAAACGTTGGGGATTCATGGTTAAAATAAAGTTGTAAAATTACCTTTTAAGTTCTATTTTAAATATTTAATCAAAAACCTATTTTTATAATAATAACCTATAAGATTTTTCTTCTTCTAATATGAATGTATATTTTTTTAATATCATTATTTGATTAGATAAAATATAGAAAACATATATCTATATGTATAATTCTATATATGACATCTAAATTTGTCAACTTATGTCACGCCTTGAAAAACACCACGTCCTCACCATGACGTGTAAGGCTTGACCTCGTCGTCACATCACACCTCACGCCTTTTTAAACCCTGCTCTAATTAATCCGATACATACTTGTTGGTAAACTGATGTTTTAACTTCCAACCTTCTCGTAAATTGATCCAGCCTCAAAGAATTCTCATTGATTCATTAAGAATTAAAACATTTTCAAATCACTTAAAATTGGTTCATATCTTTTCTCATTGATCATAAAAGTTAAAATATTGAATTTTAATTAATAAATGCAAATGTTATTTTTTATACCAAAATATTGGATTTTAATAATAGATGATAAGATAAGATCAATGTCACCATACCAAAGGAATCATTATCAAGCAGTTCCATTTCTAGCTGAAAAAATTATATTAATTTCAATTTTTAAATACAATTAAATAATAAAAAAATGGTGAAGTTTAGGTCAATCACCTGGAAAGCCTGGAGAAGGGGAAGGTCGATAATGGAGGGATTGTTTGATTGAAATCCGGCAATTGATTCTATCAAACCTAGTTTTCGAAGCGACTGCCGGACTGTAACTGAAGCGAAGCTATCATTCGTGAACAAGAACAGTGGATATGTTAATCTCACACAATTGAATCCCATCGCTGAGATTTTGTTCGAGATCGCATCCACTGGTTGTTTGCTTAGACCTTCTGCAACCACCGCATCCAGGTGGCTCACCCAATTCACGCACGATAGCTTCACTCTTTCTCCTCCATTTCCGTTGTCGACGATCCATCGTGAGTTGGTGGACAGTGGAAGCGCCGTCGTCGGGTGGTGGTGGTGGATGACGGCCGCAAGGATGAAGAGGAGGAGAGACGATGAGAATTTTAAACCCATACTTTATATGTTGTCTTCCAACAATGGAGAGATGAGTGTATTTATAAAGAAATCACTTTTGGTTTACATTTCCTTTTGTGAAAAGTCAATTTTACCCTTGTATTTATCAAAATTGTCAACGTAAATTGCTTATTTATCGTAAGATCTAAGATCGGTTGTTAAAACAAATACGGTATTTTGTTTAATTTTTCTAAATTCTTTTGCGTTAATATTCATTTTAAAGTTATGTTTGTCAAACTAGTTGATAAACTCATTACATTTGATAAAAAAAAAGTTGATAAACTATATGTAAAATGTAAAATGGCTTAAAAGTACCTGTGTTTATCTAACCCAGCGACGAACGCAGAAATTTTTTCAAATGATGACATCATTTTGACTATAAGAAAAAAAAAATATAGGGAAAAAATTTCAAACGGTGGCACCGTTGGCTATAAGAAACAAATATACGAAATATTTTTCAAACAGTAGCACCATTTGACTAAAAAATGACACTAACAAGATTCGAACTTGGGTCTGGGTGGAATAAAAGTCTCACAAACCAACTATACCAAATAAAACTTATTCGCGTTGTAGTTTCAAAATACATATGAGGGTACACAACAAATTAATATTGTTGCACCTTTCACGAACCTAAATTTGTTTACCCTTTAATGGAGGAATAATAAGGTGATGTGTGTCCACATATGAACCGGTATGAGTCTATCCATGACTGCACTACACCACATATATTTTAAATTTTAAAATATATATATTTATACATATAATCATTTATCAAATAAAAAAAGTTAATAAATTATTGATTATTTATCAAAAAAAAATTATTTTTCTTTCTGAATTTTAGATTGCAAATTCCTTATATTAATTATATTCATTTGTCTTTTGTAAAATATCGTGGTCGAAATTAATTCTAATTTAAGTTTTAAGATACATTTGAATTAATTATCAAACTATTTAAATCATATTAAAATACATCAATTGAAAGAGGTGATGCTTGATTTGGTAAGGATCGATTAAGACTAAACGATTGAGAAACAAGGTTTTTGAGAATTTTGAAGAACAATAAGAGGCAAATAAGAGGTTAGTTTACCTCTTATCAAATAAGAGAACAAGACATAAATGCTTCTGAAAAATTTAAAAAAAAAACAGTATGAATAATTCTACTGCTTAATAAATCTGACATAAGAAGTTTATAAGAGTTTCTTTTATAAAAAACAAATAAAAAATAAAAGATAAATATATATTAAATAAAAGAATGATGTATCATAAATGAATTTTTGATTAAAAATTAAATATAAAACTAGGAATTTAGAAAGGGATGTATTTAAGGTGGTTTTGGAAAGCCTTGCAAGACAACCTACGTGCCCCTGTTTTGGCAACTATCATATCCATCACTCTTTGTTGCTTATAATTTGTGAACTTCTTGTTGTTTTAAGGCAAGAAATTGGACTTTTGGTCCACATTAATCATTTATTATGTGATTTTAATCAAATAAAGTTTTATATCATATTTTTATTTATTTTAAATTTATTTAATTCATATTTATTTTCTCTATCTACTTATATATTCATATGATTGATGGACATGAATGAGACGTGAAAATTTGAGATATGTGATTTTTATCCATTTTTAATGATAGAAATTACTTGTCCCAAATTCACATGTCTCATTTATGTCCTATCAATGAAAATAAAACAAATAAAATTTTCATTTATTTTTAATTTGTTTAATTCATGTTTATGTTTTCTCTCTACTTACGTGTATTTATATGATTGGTGATTTTTATCCTAAGAATGCCACCCGTGAAGCTACACCATATGGTGTTGGGTTTGTTGATCCCAATAATTATACGAAAACAAAAAGGTTTAATTTGTATTTTTTTTAACCTAAATAGGACCATGTTGAGAATTTGACCAACGATAATTATCCATTGTTATTTTAAAAAGAAATATACAGCTCTTTTACAGCATCTCTAACAGATTTTTTAAAATAAATGGATTTTGAGAAGTTTTACTCTAATGGAGTCCTTAAAATCTTCTCCAAAATAAAGAAAGTAGGAGATAGACGATGAAATTCTCCAAGTTTAGAGAACTCTCTAAAAATGATTATTTATTAAAGAGAAATTGTTTTTTGTTCTTTTTACTAATGAGAATCCTTTAAATTAAATGTACATAAGAGACTGTAAACTCCAAAATAGAGAAACTATTGGAAACAAACATAAATTTTCTTTAAAGATTTTGACTTTTAACTATCCTTTTGAAGAATCTTCGTCCAACGACGGTATTTGCGTCTCTCTCTTTATATTAAATGTTCGTTAAGTGTTTATATTAAGTTATTTATATGTTTATAAGGTTAAGGTTTGATGTTAAATTATATATAGTGTTTGTGTTAATGTAATAATGTTATTATAAGATAAATTGTTAATGATGCTAGTATATATATATATATATGTTTTAATGATTATAAACAAATGGAATGTTTAATTGATTAACAATTTTACTTCTTGTGCATATTTATGATATACTAAGAATCAAGTAAAAAACTCATATTTGGTCAAATAATCTATGGAGTCGTCATCTTGGAAAACATGCCACATTGCTGCGAGATCCGTGTCAAACGACAAAAGTTGGAGATTGCAATCGAAATGTGTGCTGCCAAATTAATGTTTAAGGATCAAATCCAAATCAAGACGGAGTTGTCATCCGGATTCTACGTGATATTGTGTGGTATATAACTATAAATCTCGAGTTGGATGAATTGGTTTAAAAATGTCTTTTAAAATTAAATCTCAAAAGTGTTTTATAAAACTAGTTTTCATAAAATTAATATAGAATTTATATTGAGAGATAGTTTAAAAAGAGGATATTCTCGATAAATTCAATAGTCTTCTTGGATGAGATTTTATAAAATAAACCAAATATCTTTTTTTTTTAATATGAACCTTGGAAACATGAGGGTGTTTAAAAATCTGATTTATAAATTCACGATGATGTTTAAAAATCTGATTTATAATGATTTGATTTCGCGCAAAAAATGAGAAAGAACATTTAATTCAAATAGTTGTCAAAGTTAATGCAGATGTTCACCTGACAGTACTTCAACGGTTGAAAATCAACTTTTTCTGAAAAGTGACAATGCATGAGTCCACTTAAAACCAAAATTTCAAAAATTGTTATTTAAAGCTAGGGGTTTTCTCCAACTTTCATACAAGTCTTTGGGATACTTTTAGTTGGGAAATTTTGATCTCTCTCTGTAATCTTCCTCAAGAACGTCTACATGTTTTCAAGTTTATGATTTGATTTTCTGAATCAAACTACATACATTTGAGAGATTATTACACCACCACTTGATCATTGAAAGTCTTATTATATACGTGGTGTGGGTTAAACAGTTCCTATTTCCTAATCTTTGGATTAGAGTTGTTCATATTTTATGAACTGTTTATAAATTGTGTTATATTTGAGAAGTTTTCTCCCTTTCATCATCTTTGTGTGAGGTTTGAGTTATATCTCCTACACGTATCACCCTTGAGTGGTTCGTCTTCTGTGACTCGTTTGAGTGTTCTTCCTTTTGCAATAAGGTTGAATGTTTCATAGCTTTGTTGTAAGATTATCGTGTGCGGTTTTATTCTACTATTTAAAGAACAACAATAGTGAAGTGACTCGAAAAGTGTCTCGGTGTGGATGTAGCCAAGTTGGGTGAACCACGGTAAATCTTGTGTAGCGCATTTCTTCCCCGATCTCTTTCTTTTATCACAATATTAATGTGTATGAGATTTGTACGTTTTGATCTACAATCTTGTGTTTGGGTCTTGATGCTTTTAATTTTTATGTTTATACAATCTTATATGCTTTATGATTGTTTGAACTGGTTAAAAATTAATAAAAAAACGTTAATTTTGTGATCCTTGCAACCTTCCCCCCAAGGTTGCACCAACAAATAAGGTGAGGGTTTTATATGCAATGAACTTAATATGTTAACTTGTTTTATTATCTCGATAAACAGAACGATTTACAAAAAGAAATATATCAACATCCAAACTCAACTGTGGTGGTATTTTGTAACCTAGCTCTACTCGGTATCAATCTGAAAGGAATAGAATTTCAGAGTATTACTTTAATCAAAGAGATAAAATAAGTTGAAAGCATTTGGATCAGAGGACCTTTGTCAACGTTAATCAAATAGATGAGAACAAGGTAAAAGATATTTAATCAACTAAAAACCGAATCCATGTGCAATAGCTGAAACGGAGAAGTTATTGAAGAGACTTGTTTAGATTTGAAGTTATCTTTTGTCTGTTTTCCCTTTTCACAGGCTGAGAAAAGAGATCTCTTTGTAAAGAAGTGCTCAGGAAGGCTACTGACAAGATCCAATCACCATGATTCTTGGATTTATCACTGGACACGTCTAGGGCCTATTAGAAATAAAGGCCCACAATTTTTAGTATATGGTAGTACTTTTAAAAAAAATCTCTTTATCCAAAAAAATGATTTACGTCTAATTGTAGACATTTAATTTGGGACGATGGATGGTAAACAAATATGTATTAACTATTTATATTGGAGAAGAAATACTATATAAATTAAATGGTTATTTGTTTTATGGTATTGTTTATTATTTTTCTAATTATTTTATCTGGTACCAAGGTACACAACTACTGGCTATTACTATCTCCATTTATTTGTCTACTTCATTTCTCTCGTACTTCAATAACTCAACAAACTACGACTTTAAATTGTTACTTTTAAACCTATGAGATATAAAACAAAAATAAGATCTCAAACTATAACCAACATAAACTTTTGATTTTGAGATTTAAGGGTCGTTTACCAAATGCTTACTCGGATAAGCGTTTACCAAGTCACATTATCTAACTGGATGAATATGGTAAGGACCAAAAATCTTACCCGTTAAGAGCGAGACAAGAACCAAGAGTCTTAGCCGGTAAGTGAGAACGACGACTCTTACCACGGTAAGCGATTATCGGATAAATTATTGCATGTGATGTC